TTTTTTGGAACATCCCAGTTAATTGGCTTAATAACATGTTTAGTGCTTCTGTTCTACCTCCTAGTTTGTTGTGTAATGCCTGGGATCTTACAAGTTTGCAAGCAGCCAGCTGAGTCACAATAATAGGTCTCTATTCAATTGGAGCAACAGAGGAAGAAGGAGAGTCAAGAATAGGAGGAGGATATGGAATGTGTGGTTAAATGCCTCCATGAAAAACTGCCTTCCTTGCCATAAGACCGGAAGAACTGCATGGTGGCCAGCTACAATTTCTGGACATCTTGATCAAAGATTCTATAGAAAAATCCTAATCAAAAGGGGGGAAATGCAGAACAGAATTTAAAATTCTCAAGGACTGCAGACTTTCTGGACACATGAGGGCTAGATGAACCCATGAAACTACTACCCTGAAGTAGTCTTTAAACCTTAAACCAAAAATATTCCCCAAAGTCTTCTTAAAAGCAAACAATAGTTTAGCTTAACTAATCAAATAGGTCTGACTTGATCATTATGCTCTTTTAAGAACTATCTACATGGAATCAAATTGACAACAGCTATTCAAAAGATTAGACAGGAAGCTTAGGGGGCAGTGAGTTTATGTTAATAGGAGAGGAACAACTCAGGAAAGGCGGTGAAAATGGTTGCACAACTCAAAGAATGTAATCAATGTACATGTAGGGACTGTGGAACTGGTGTATGTTTTGCTCCATATATTGCCAACAACAGCAAAATAAATAATTTTTAAAAAGTTAATGGATGTGTTACATTGAAGATTAGATATGATTAATGTGAGTGAGAATTGGTGAACTAGAGGGTAAATTTGAAGAATTTATCCAGAATGCTGACAAAAAGAGTGCAGAGATGGGAATTATTAATGAGAGGTTAAAAGATACAGAGAATAGACCAAAAATCCTCATCTATCTTATTAGGATCCTAGAATAGGAAAATGGAGAGGAGAAAAGGCATTATTTCAAGAAAAAAAATGCCTACAAATTTTCCAGAATGAAAGAAAAACATGAATCCACACGTCTGGAAAACACCACATATCCCAAAATATCCGAAACACAAAGATTTCCACATCTGGGACTCTCGTAGTGAATCTGTGAAACATCATAGACCAAGGCAATATGACTGCAAAACCAGCTGGGGAGAAGGAAAAGATGGAAGGAATGATTGAAGAACACAAGATTTCTCAACCACAATGGAAGCCAGAAGACAGTGGAATAATATTTAGAAATAATCTGCAAATAACTTTCAACTTAGAATTACATATATAGTAAAGATATTATTCAAGATCTGGTGGCACAATGCCTGAGGCATTTGACTGCCAATCAAGGTGGTGGTTCAAACCTACCAGCCACTCTGTGGAAGGAAGATGGGGCAATCTGCTTTCATAAAGATTTACTGCTTTGGAAATCCTATGGGTTTCTATGGGTATTCTATGGGTCAGAGTCAACTTGATGGCAGTGGGTTTGGTTTTGGTTTGGTTTAAAGATATTATTCAAGAATAAAACTAAACCAAACTAGTTGCCACCAAGTTGATTCCAACTCATGGTGACCCCATATGCTGCAGAGTAGAACAGCACTTCATAGAGTTTGCATGGCAATGATCTTTCTAAAGCAGATCGCCAGGCCTTTTTTTCAAGGCTCCTCTGGGTGGGTTCAAAACACCAACCTTTCAGTTGACCACTCAGGGATTCCATTCAAGAGTAAGAGGAAGAAAATGCACTCACAGAGAAAAAATACAACTGAGGGATTTAAAACCAAGAGGTTGACTCTAAAAGATCAAGTAAATAATATGTTTCAGGGAGAAAAGTTATCCCAGAAGGATGAGCTGAGATATGGAAAGGAATAGTGAACAGAAAAAATTGCAAACATATCAGAAAATCAAACAAACGTTCATTCTATCTCTCTCTTTTCCTCTCTCTCTACACACACACACACACACGTGTCTACATATATACATATACATATATAAATGTATATACAAAGAAGGAGCTCTGGTAGCATAGTGCCTAAGGCACTTGACTGCTAACCAGAAGGCTGGTGGTTCAAACCCACCAGCCACTCCTCAGAAGGAAGCCTGGGCAATCTACTTCCATAGTGTTACTGCCTCGGAAACCCAAGGAAGTGTCGCTATGAGTCAGATCCGACTCGACGGCACATAACAACAAAAACAACAAATATATAAAGAAATGAGTTCTGGTAGCACAGTGCCTAAGGCATTTGACTGCTAACCAGAAGGTTCATGGTTAAAATCCATCAGCCACTCCATGGAAGGAAGATGGGGCAAGCTACTTCCATAAATGTTTACCATCTTAGAAACCCAATGGGGGTCACTATGAGTCAGAATCAACTCAATGGCAGTGGGTTTGGGTTTTTTTTGTTTTGTTTTGTTTTTGGTGTGTGTAAAATAACTACATTGGAGGTTAAGAAAAGATAGAAATAAAATGCTGGATGATAATAATATCTAAACAGGAAAGGGGATGTCTGAGATACTGTATTCCAAAATACAGTTATTGTTTGGAAGGGAATCAAGAATATTTTACTAAATATTAAGGTTAAACGTATAAGACAATTATCCAAGGAAAACCAGTAAAGAATATTGTTGTTGTTATGTGCCATTGAGTCAGACCCGACTCATAGTGACCCCTCCTTGGGTTTCCCAGGCGGTATCACTATGGAAGTAGATTGCCCAACCTTCCTTCTGAGGAGTGGCTGGTGGGTTTGAACCACCAGTCTTCTGGTTAGCAGTCAAGTGCCTTAGGCACTACACTACCAGAGCTCCCTCCTACGAAAGAATATAGAATGCTTAATTCCAAAACAAATAGAGTGGGGGGAGAAAAAAGTGGAATAAAAGGAAAAAATACAGATTCATACACACACACACACACACACAATTTAAAATGGCAAGAAAAGTTAGATGGAGGAAACTCATCTGAATTTATCAGTAATCACAATAAATGTTAAGGAACTAAATTCACTAAATGAAATAAATGAGATTGTCAGATTGCTTGAGTAAACAAAACCAAAACAAACAAAACAATATGCTGTTTTAAAAAAAGATACATCTAAAGCATACAGACACAGAGACTGAAAATAAAGGAAAAGAAAAAGACATGGCAGAGAAAAACAACCAAAGAAATTTGGTGTAGTATGTCAGTATCAGACATAACAGAGTTTAAGGCAAAAAGCACAGTCCGAGATAGAAAGATTATTTCATAAGGATAAAATATCTAATTCGCCTAGAATGACATGGATTAATCTCTGATGTACTGCAGGTAGTAGTGGAAATTGGAGCAACCACTTTAACAAACAATTTGGCATTGTCTTAAAAATCAAATACTCATATACCCTGTGGCACAGCAAGTTTGCTCCCATATATACTCAACAGAAACTTTTAATATGTGTGTCCCAGGAAATATGTATAAGAATATTTAAGGCAGACCTGCTTATAATAAGCAAAAAGATAGAAGCAATCGCAATGGCCACTAAGTAGAAAATGAATGTTGTTGTTACGTGCCATCGAGTCGGACCTGACTCATAGCGACTCCTCCTTGGGTTTCTGAGGCAGTATCACTATGGAAGTAGATTGCCCGACCTTCCTTCTGAGGAGTGGCTGGTGGGTTTAAACCGACAGCCTTCTGGTTAGCAGTCAAATGCTTTAGGCACTACACTACCAGAGCTCCCTAGAAAATGAATACACTGTAGTATATTAACATAATGGATTGCTGTGAAGCTGTGGAAATTAATGAATGATAACTACATTCAATTTTATAGGTGAATCTTAGTAACATAATATTAAGGAGAAAAAGCACGTCTCAGAAGACTACATACAGTAATATACCACCTTTATAAGAAAAAATTTTAAGCTATATAATCATTTAGGCATACCTGCATATGTCTTAAACATATGTCTTAGAGCCCTGGTGGCACAGCAGATAAATACTCAACTGCTAACCTAAAAGTCGGCAATTTGAACCCACCAGCCTCTCCACGGAGAAAGATGTAGCAGTCTGCTCCTGTAAAGATTAAAGGCTTGGAAACCCTATGGGGCAGTTCTACTCTGTCCTATAAGATTGCTATAGACTCAACAGCAATAGGTTTGATTTCATTTGATATACATATCTTACGACTAAAATAAAAAGGCAAGAGAATTTCAGGATTCTGTTTCCTCTGGATGGGTGAACACATAATTAAGTAGGGCACCCAAAGGATGCCATTCACGTGGAATCCAATACACAGTAGGCCTGGATTATCGTTTTGAAGCAGTTGGTAGGTTCCATGGATAACACTACTTTTTATTGACATAAACCAAAAATTGAGAAATGGGCATGACACATAGACCAAGAAAGTGTGTCATGAGTTAAGGGTTATAATTAAACTATTATAGGGATTAATGGCCAATTAACACACACACACACACACACACACACAACACCCCAGACCTGTTCTTTATATCAAACCATTGATTGTTTGTTTTTCTTCTCTCCTGACTAGACTATAAGCTCTTTGAGAATAAGACCATGTGTGTTTACATTCACCACTGCAGACCCATTGCCTAGCACAATCTGCTACATGTTCAGATATGTTGGATGAGTGAATTGTATTGTGATAAACCTAGAAAACAAAAGGATCAGACATCATCTGCAGCTAGATACTGTGTTTACTGATCATCCTACTTCCCCAAGGTATATCAGGAACTTCCAAAACAATGTTTTATGATAATTTTAATAGCAGATATCTTTGGGGTATTTCCCACCCAAGTTTGGAGAACATATTGCCTCAAAATAGTCACTTTCCAGACTATGTTGACTTCTGCTGTAAGACTTACTAAAAATCCCTCCCATTTCCATTTTTGAAGTGATTTTATTAGTAGCAGCTTTGACGGCCCCACATACCAGCCCCTACTTGTGAATAAAGAATTGTTTCAAAATGACAGGTGAAAGAGAAAGAGAAATGATGGGTTTTCTTCCACTCTCCTTTAGGCAGTAGTTACTTACTACAATGGCCTGGATGCACTCATAGTAGGAATTTGTCCTCACACACGAGACTGGAAGGACACTTTTCATATCGTTGCATTTGTCATGCTCTGGTTTTGATGTGGTGCACCATCTCACAGTTTGGTCAGGGACAGCCAGACACAGCCCTAGGGAAGAAAGGCCAGAGGTGTAAGGACCCTGTTCCCTGTGCCAGTCAGAAAGACAGCACCACCCTCCAAAGGGTCCTCAAAGGTGGTGAGACCCCCAATACTATGGCACCTAGTTACCCTTCAGGCCTGCAATTAAACTCACTCCGTGGCTTCCAGCCAAACAATAGATAGGCATATAGGGTGAACATTTACTCCTTACAGCGATCAACCATGGGAGAACAGAAGGGCAGTGTTTGCACAGGGAGATAGATCAGGGAGCAGGAATGCATAGGAAAGAAGGACACAATGAAGAGATAACTACAGGGAGGAAGTGGGAAGAAAGCCATTACATTGTGGAGACTGCAGTCAATGTCATGAAACAATATGTAGAAACTGCTGTATGGAAAATGATTTTTTTTGTAAACATTCACCCAAATCACAATAAAAATTTTGAAAATAAATAAATAAATATAAAAAAATTTTGAACCTCAAAAAAAAGGGGGGAGTTTTTAAAAGTGCCACATCCTCTCTGTCCCATCCTCCTTCTACTCCTGTTCCACAAATGCAGCTGGGCACAAGTTGCACTGCATTCCAAGGCTGGGGCTACAGTAAAGGCACCCTAATGACCTCCCAGTTTACAGCTGACCACCCTGTGCTGACCAGAGGGGTACCGGCTTGACCATCAACTCTCAATTGCATACAGCAGACTGAACCTCTGACTTCTTGCCTCCTCCCCTTGCCGTCATACCCCTGACTTGCCATGGAACAAGAAGATTCTCTATTAATGCGCACACAGTGTATCCAGTATCTCAACACATTGGCTCTGTCCCACAATGCTGGAAAGCCAGCAGGGTAGGAACTGGGGTCAGAGAACTTGATGTTTTATCCAGGGTCACCTAGTTTGTTAGTGGTCACACCAGGCCTAGAAACCAGGTCTCTGGGCTGATTTGCTCACTAGGCTATCCACAGAGAGCAGCCCAGGGGACAAAAGAAGATAGTATTCCAAATTACTTTCTTCCTTGCTTGTAGTTGGGAATAAATGATTGGAAAGATCATGAATTTGCCTGTAACCATTCTCTGTCATCCTCTGTTCCAGGAATAAGTTCCATATACTCAATGGTCTTCTCTCCATTTCCACTTACCCCTCCCTCAGTTTTCACTACGTGTTTTTTTTTTTTTTTTTTGGCTGCCATTTAGAGAGAAGGCTAAATCCACCCACATCTATAGCTATTAAAATCCATGTGGTTGCAGATGGTTTGTTCTCCATCATGTGAGTTTTGGTGCTGTCCCCACAGGCCTCGGTCATCTCCACTCTCTGTGGGCCAACAGGTTCACAGCAGGGCTGACTCAGGGAATCTGGTGAAAAGCCACAAAACACAAAGCTGGATAGGGGAAGACCAAGAGTTCTCCAGGAGGGAACAGGAGGGAGCCATGGGGGACTGACTGCCCCAAGCCCCCTTTACCAGGCCTCTGCCCATGGAAAATCAGAGGAGGCAGCCTGAGTCAACAGCAGACCCTCACAAGTACCACCCCTCCCAGGTCCAGCTGCAGGAATGTGCCTCTCAGTCTGGCAGTCACTCTGCACAGCCCTATGAGATGCACTGGGGACAAAGGCAAATAAGGTGGGGCCATCACTTAAGAAGTTTAGTTTTATCAAGCAAGTCACTAAACATAGAAGGCTCTAAAGATGTGAAAAAATGCACCCAAGTGGAAGTTAGAAAAGAAAGGGGGTCCAGAGGATTTCATTTAAGCCTCACCTGGCCCCACCAGGTGAGTGCTATTATGCCCTTTTCTGATGGCAGCTAAGGAACTCTGGTGGCATAGTGCCTAAGGCATTTGACTGCTAACCAGAAGGCTGGCGGTTCAAACCCACCAGCCACTCTGGAGAATAAAGACTGGGCAATCTACTTCCGTAACACCTTGGAAACCCACAGGGGGTCACTATGAGTCCGAATGACTTGATGGCAGTGAGTTTGCTTTTTTTTTTTTTTTCTGGTGGCAGCTAGAGAAGCAAAGAAACCCCAACCCCTGTGGGCAGTGTCAGATTACCCAATAAGCAAGGTAAGCACAAGCTTACTTGTGCTTAATTACTACTCTGTAGTGAATAGTTTCACATGTTTTCCCATATGTGGTGAAACCCATGTGAAATTGTCCACTGCAGATTAATCATTAAGTACAAGTAAACCAGTGCTTACCCTGCTTATTGAGTAATCCACCCCTACCTGTGGGACACAGCAAGTAGTGGAGTCAGGATTTGGACCCAAGATGTCTGAGTTCAAATCCCATGTTCTGAATCACCTGGCTGCACTTGTCTCCTCAGGGAGGCAGCATCAGACTGCCCAGGGAGGGGGAGTCAGATAAGTGAGGCTTTGGGAATGTGTACTTGACTGAGGAGGCAGCTGGAAGAGTTTTGATAAAATGTGATTAGAATTGTTCTCATTTACTGTATTGTACCGCTGCAAGAGTTATCGGATAAGAAGGAGGACAGCGATTTGGAGAAAGAGGAGGGAAGGACACGAAGGAAGAGGAAGGCGAGGAGTGAGCAGTGAAATGATGGCAAGAGGCTCAAGGCAGAGCCCTCAGAGGCGCTCACCCGCTCAACCGCAGAGAAGTTCAGAGCAGTTTGCTTGGTGGTCAGAAAGATGACTGACTGGAGATGTGGCGGGGAGGAGCGACGGAAAAGCACTCAGTTTACAACCACCACGCAGAGCACAGATCCAGTGCAGGGGCGCCCCGCGGGCTCCGGAGGAAGAAGGGGCGCCCAAAGGCCGGCGAGTCTGCGGGCCTTTGCTGCACTTACCCAGAACCCCGAAGGCAAGCAAGGCGCAGACGGTGAGCCTCATCCTCTCAGGTCTGCGGCGCTGAGTGGCGAGCACAGATAGACCCCGCTTCTGTGCTACTTCTCCTGGGCTCCCGTGCCTCTTTATATCCGGCGGGGAGTCGGCTGGGCACAACCTTTGACCTCACCATGTTTGAGCAGCCTGGTTACCCAATCGCCCCTCACCCTCTCCCCCTTCCTTCTTCACCCTTGCTGATCATCTCATTTCCTGAGCCCTGGGACAGCCCCGCAGATGGAATCTATCAAAAATGCTGACTGGAATGGAAATAAAATTAAATCAAATCAACCCCATGCCAGTACTGTACACTTGCTCTGTTCCAGGAATGTGGCTAAAGCGAGTGGTGAGTGTGTGTGTGTGTGGGGGGGGGGGGGGGGGGGGGGGGGACAGGGGCTGTTCTGCTCCTGAATCCCAGGTTGCCAGAGCTGGACGTGCCTCTTGTCCTTTCTCTCATTGGACATTTGGCAACCTTGAGGGCCAAAGAAGAAAGTTAATTTCCCTAGATCTCAGGGAGGACTAGAGCCTGAGAATAACAGGCAAAGACCTTCCAGGGAGTATATGTGGAAGGAGAACAAAGCTGGGCTCAAAGTCAAGAATGTCAGGCCCAACACCTTTCATTCTTCCTTGGGTGTCCTCAAAATCTTGCTTCTCCAATCTTAATGGCCCACCCCATGAGCTGCTGCCTCTCCCCCTTGCCCTCTGAGCTAAGGCTCTTTGGCCTGAAAATTTTCCTTGTCCACAGGCCCCTGGCAGGGGCCACTGCCTTGCTAGAGGCAGAGTCAGAGGAGAGATGATCCCCTTGCACAAGAAGATAATGGTCCCCTGGGGAATATAGTCAAGACACTGTGAGACTCAGAACAAAGTGCCATGTTAACATAAAGACTATTTGAATACCTTGGGGGACAGAGACCCAAAGAGAGAAAGACAGAGACCCAGAGGGGGAGGAAAACAGATCCAGAGAGAAGGAGACAAAGACCCAGAGAGAGAGGGGAACCGAGACCCACACAGAGCAGGGGCCAGACACCCAGAGAGCCACAGGGACAGAAACCCAGAGAGCGAGGGATAGAGACCCAAGAGCCAGGGAGACAGAGGTTCAGGTAAAGATGGAGAACAGAGACTCAGAGAGAAGAGACTGTTCATGACAGAGAAAGGGCAGGGCTCGGGCCATCCCAGCAGCCATCTGTGCCCTGTGGAAATGAACTGACCCATAGGCCAGCTCCAGGGCCTGACCCAGCCTCTCCCTCCACACACTGGTGCTGCCTCCCCGGGGTGTCCCGTTGGCCATGGCTAGAGCCTCCTTGGCTGTGTGGAATGCGGAGGCCACCATCAGAGGCCATGGCACCTGGGAAGGGAAATGGGGGTGCTCAGGTGTGATCCACAGCCCTGAGACCAGGTGGAACTCCCACCCAGGGACTTCCGGAAGGTGCAGTGCTGTTGCCCACGTCGGGCCAAGAACAGACGACAATCCCTCACGCTGAAAGGCTCACCTCTGCCTGAGCACAGGGGGCAGCCGGAGGCAGGTGGGAGACCAAGGTCGGGGGAAAGAACGGGCTGTCTGTGGGCACATCGCCAGCTTGGAACACCTGGGAGGGGGAAGAGAAATAGGTCCAGAAGTCCCCCTCCAGTATCCTCCTCCGGGACTAGGGACAGATGTGGCCTGTTCTCAACTCCCTGGCCATCCCTATCTCCCCTCTAGCCAAGTAATCTCTAAACCAGTTGGATTACACTTCTTCATCAGTAAAACTACTGTGTTTGTGCCTTCTGTATCTGTTTTGTTTTGTTGTACATTTCAATCATGCATAAGGAAGAAATTAATAAAAGGATGAGCTAAAGGTGAATACTGATATTTTAAATGCCTCTTTGCTTACAATGCCTGACAGGCCATGAATTAATATCTCAAGGCACAATACACATTTAGAGAAAGGGCAGGGTTGCTACTGGGAGATGTGAATCCGTACTTCAAAGTGTCATGATAATTTTAGGGCTTTCGAAAAATTGCTTCTTATCCAATCTGACTAGATGGTCACTGATTCTACCTCCTATTTTAGCTGACAGTCTAAAGTGTCATTTCTGCCATTTTATTTTTGTTCTGTTTGTGTCATCAGAATGATCTGCTAATTCTAGTATCTTTGCAGGAATCTTTTTCAGGCATTTGTGCACTTTGTGAAGGACAGTTAGTTAAAGCCAGGTGGTGCAAGCTCTACATCCATTTAACTGTTGTTGTTGTTATGTGCTGTCAAGTTGGCCCCTACTCATAGCGACCCCTCCTTGGGTTTCCGAGGTGGTCTCACTACAGAAGTAGATTGCCCAACCTTCCTTCCGAGGAGTGGCTGGTGGATTTGAACCACCAGCCTTCTGGTTAGCAGTCAAGTGCCTTAGGCACTGTGCTACCAGAGCTCCATTTGACTAGGCACACGCAAACTAGTAAAGGACAGGGTCAGGGTGCCACAATGATGCTGCACCTTTGCCTTGTGAGGCATCCCCTACCTTCCCACAGGATACCTCAAAGTCACCTGTCTAACCTACAGACTGGAAGATGGGGTAGGGGGAGGCAGTGCCAAGCCACTATGAAATATTGTTGTTGTTGTTGTTGTTAGGGGAGGTCAAGTCAGCTCCAACTCATAGCAACCCTATATACAACAGAATAAAACACTGCCCAGTCCTGTGCCAGCCTCATGATCCTTGCTATACCTGAGCCCATCATTGCAACCGCTGTGTCAATCCATCTCATTGAGGGTCTTCCCCTTTTTCACTGGCCCTCTACTTTACCAAGCATGATATCCTTCTTCAAGGAATCGTCCCTTCTGACAACATGACCAAAGTAGGTGAGATGAAGTCTGGCCATTCTCACTTCCAAGGAGCATTCTGGCTACACTTCTCTAAGACAGATTTGTTCCTTCTTCTGACAATCCATAGTACTTTCAGTATTTTTTGCCAACACCACAACTCAAAAGAATCAACTCTTCTTTGGTCTTCCTTATTCATTGTCCAGCATTCACATGCATATAAGGCTATTAAAAATACCATGCCTTGGGTTAGATGCACCTTAGTCTTCAAAGAGACATCTTTGCTCTTCAACACTTTAAAGAGGTCTTTAAAGTACAGATTTGCCCACATTTAAAGTACAGATTTGCTCCCTGCAATATATCATCTTATTTCTTCACTGCTCCTTCCGTGAGTGTTGATTGTGGATCCACGTGATATGAAATCTTTGACAACTTCAATCTTTTCTCCATTTATCATAATGCTGCTTATTGGTCCAGTTGTGAGGATTTTCATTTTCTTTATATTGAGGTGTAATCCATACTGCAGACTGTAGTCTTTAATCTTCATCAGTAAGTGCTTCAAGTCATCTTTACTTTCAGCAAATAAGGTTGTATTGTCTGCATATCGCAGGTTGCTAATGAGTCTTCCTCCAATCCTATTGCGACACTCTTCTTCATGTAGTCCAGTTTATCAGATTATTTGCTCAGCATACAGATTGAATAAGTATGGTGAAAGGATACAACGCTGACACACTCCCTTCCTGATTTTAAACCATGCAGTATCCCGTTGCTCTATTCTAACAACAGCCTCTTGATCTATGTACAGGTTCCTCATGAACACAATTAAGTGTTCTGGAATTCCCATTCTTCTCAATATTATCCATAATTTTTTATGACCCACACAGTCAAATGCTATTGCATAGTCAATGAAACACAGGTAAACAGCTTTCGGGTACTCTTTGCTTTCAGACATCAGCAATGATATCCTTCATTCCACGTCCTCTTCTGAATCCAGCTTGCATTTCTGGAAGTTCCCTGTCAATATACTGCTGCAACCGTTTTCAAATTATCTTCAGTAAGATTTTAGTTGGGTGTGATATTAATGATATTGTTCAATAATTTCCACATTCTGTTGGATCACCTTTCTTTGGAATGAGTACAAATATGGATCTCTTCCAGTTAGTTAACCAGGTAGCTGTCTTCCAAGTTTCTTGGCATAGATGAGTAAGTGCCTCTAGCACAGCATCCATTTGCTGAAACATCTCAATGGGTATTCTGTCATTTCCTGGAGGCTTGTGTTTTTGCCAATTCCTTCAGTGCAGCTTTGACTTCTTGCTTCAGTACCACTGGTTCTTGATCATATGCCACTTCCTGAAATAGATGAATAGCAACCAATTCTTTTTGGTACAGTGACTCTGTGTATTCCTTCCATCTTCTTTTGATGTTTCTTGCATCATTCAATATTTTGCCCATAAAATCTTTCAGTATTGTAACTTGAGGCTTGAATTTTTTCTTCAGTTCTCTCAGCTTGAAGAATACTAAGCATGTTCTTTCCTTTCAGTTTTCTAACTCCACATTTTTGCACATTTCATCATAATAATTGACTTTGTCTTCTTGAGCTGCTCTTTGAAATCTTCTGTTCAGCTCTTTTATCTTGTCAGTTTTGTCATTTGCTTTATCTAATCTCCATTCAAGAACAAGTTTCAAAGTCTCTTGAAATTTCATCCATTTTGGTCCTTTCTTCTTTTCCTGTCTTCTAAATGACCTTTTGCTTTCTTCATGGATAATGTTTTTGATGTCATCTCACAGTTTGTCTGGTTTTGGTCATTGATATTCAATGCATCAATCTATTCTTCAGATGGTCTCTACGTTCAGATGGGATGTAATCAAGGTCATAGTTTGGCTCTAGTGGACTTGCTTTAATTGTGTTCAGTTTCAACTTGAACTTGTATATGAGCAGGTGATTGTCTGTTTCACAGTCAGTTCCTGGCCTTGTTTTAGCTGGAGATTTTGAGCTTTTCCATCTCCACCTCAACAGATGTAGTCAGTCTGATTCCTGTGTATTCCGTCTGGTGAGGGCTATGTGTATAGCCACCATTTATATTGTTGAAAAAAAGGTATTTGCAATGAATAAGTCATTGGTCTTGCAAAATTCTATCATGTGATCTCCAACATCATTTCTATCACCAAGGCCATATTTTCCAGCTACTGGTGATTCTTCTTTGTTCCCATCTTTCACAT